ACAGATGGCAATACTATTACCTTCAACCAAAAGGAATCCAAAGCTTCTTAGGGAAATGGCTGATTCCAGGATGGGGCAGGGAAAGTACAATATGAATCGGGAACATCTTTTTGCATCAGAAAGTTAAAAAGTGCCCAAAGAATGATGTGGGCAACATCAACTGGACACAGAGTCAGTCTGAAGGAACTTCCACTGACCAAATCTGAGGCAATCTGAACATCAAGCTAAGTCATGAGAATATGGGTTATAATTTACTGATTAAAATCAGAAACCATGAGTGCATACTGATATACTAGTAAATAAGTAAGTGAATAAATAAAAATAATTGGTGAGGGATGGGTTATTTATGTAGTTTAAAAGTGTCTCTCCACAAACTACTTTTTAATTATTGGAGATAAAGAATAAGGTTGCCATGGAGAAATTTGGCAGATGACCACCTTGCTCAAAGTGATCAAGGTGAATGTTAGTCATAATGGTGCCAACAGAGATTGTTTGCCATTTGATAATCATGAGAAAATATCAGAGTAACCAAAATTGAGGGTAATACTACAAAATAACTGACCTATAATCCTCAAAGTGCCCAGTTCACAAGTCAGGAACTGTTGCAGATGGAAGGAGACTAAAGAGATGTGGCAACTAAATGCAACCCAGGATTCCGAAGTGGATCCTACTAAAGGGCATTATTGGAACAACTGGTGCAACTCAGATGGGGTCTGAGGAGGAGCTGGTGGCAATGTATCAGTGCTAACTTCCCGATTTTGATTGTTGTGTTGTGGCTGTGTAGTGAATGTCCTTGTTTGTAGGAAAATCGCATGAATGTATTTGAGTGTGATGACGCATCATGGCAGTGACTTATCCTCAAGAGATTCAGGAATAAGTTTCTTTGTACAAGACTTGTAAACTTTTTGTAAATTTTAGTTGGTTTTAAAAAGTTAACATTGCTCCCCTGACTTTTGCCAAGCAGCTCATAGCATCGCTTCTAGATTGGTTATTAGTCCTCTGGGCAAGGGAACGTGGAAGAAGGCTGATGTAAAGTGTAAGTAAAGGGATAAAAACTTTGGGGAACATTATGCCGCTGAATCCTACTCATCCCAAGAACTGTCTCCAAGATTTATGCTTTTCCAGTCAAACTCCATTCCTATCTCATTTCAGCTCCTATCTCCCCTCGCCATGGCAACTACAGGTCACTGATTTGCTTTCTGACATTTTAATCCCCGGTGCCTGGCACATGGAGGCTTAATAGCCATTTAAAGAATTAATTAACGGTGCCCTCTGGAAACGAAGTCAGCAATGTAGTCTTGGAAAATAAATTAGTTCAACCTTCATGTAACATTCTCCATTAGTATGAGAACTAAGCAGCAAAGGCTTTTTGTTTATTTTGCTTTCTGTGTTGTTACTTTGAAATGGCTGTTTCTATTTATGGCCCCTTCAGCCGCACACGTTTTCATGAACAGCCCCAGGTAATTAGCTTCCTGAAGCATTGCTACGCGGGAGGTGCCTGTGGTCTCTTCCTCTTACCTGCTTGAGAGCGTTATTATCCTCTCTCAGGAATTTATGGAAGAAGGTGCTTCTCCAACTTCTATTCAGTGTGTGACTAGATTAAGGACTTTTCTCCTCGGTTCTTCATGGGAGGAAAACGTAATCAGTTTTACCTCTGGTCAGAATCTCACTTGCGTTGCAAACCTCCTTCACGAAAAGCCCCGAATTCAAATCCTCATAATGAACATTAACATTCTAATAAAAGCGAACAGGTGCCGATCACTATGCCAGCCCTACAAAGAAATTTATTTGTGCAGTAGTTTATTACTATCCAAAATGGCCTGTAAGATACGGACCATTTTTGTGTACAGTTTATAGTTGAAGAGACATACGTATATTAGACTGAGCTTCTTGGAATGGCTCCCAAATCTTCATACAAAACTGAGCTGCCAAGGAGCGGCTGCCCTCGCCACCAGTGGAGAGTCACCTGTCCAGCTGATGCTCTCGCCCTCCCATCTATCAGCTTGGGAGGTAAGATCGCAACATAAATGCTACTGCTCTGCTCTTACCCCGTGTACGCAGTTCCAAACTAAGGTCTCCTATTTGTGCGTCTGACTGACAGAACCAAAAAAATATCATCTGAAACCGAAGCCATTTTCTTCAGTTTTCTAGCTCTATCCATAGGAGGAAATTCAGAAAGGGCATTGGAATAGAGGTAGAGCAAGCTAACCCTCACCATGTCACAGCAGGAGGCACGGTGTTTGGGGTTGGGTTTATGTGGATGTGTGCTGACAGCAAATTACAAATGCATCCTGGAGTATGCCTCACTTCAGTTCCTACCTCTGAACTTGCACAATCCTCACACTGATTATCTTAGTGCATCTGCCTGAATGAGGTCTATTCCCATGATTCTTTGAGCACCTTTTCTCTTGTTCTTTTAAAAGTTGTACTCATTCCAGCATGGACAGTTTCTTTTATAGCTCTTGTTTAATTTTTGTAGGATCACAGACTTCCCAGTTTCTTAGTCAGCTGGAAAAGTGGAGCCTTCCGTATCTCAGCTTCTTAGTGATACTGTGTCAGAGCTCATCTCCAGCCTAGACAATGGAGACTCGTGTCTCCATTGCTGTTTGTTTGTTTGTTTGTTAAAAAAATATATATTTTTTATTGATTTTAGAGAGGAAGGGAGAGAGAGAGAGATAGAAACATCAATGACGGGAGAGAATCATTGATTGGCTGCCTCCTGCACACCCCACACTGGGGATCGAGCCTGCAACCCCGGTATGTTCCCTTGACAGGAATTGAACCTGGGACCCTTCAGTCTACAGGCCAATGCTATATTTACCCAGCCAAACCAGCTAGGGCAAGTTTGGTGTTTTTTGTTTGTTTGTTTGTTTGTTTGTTTGTTTTTTAATCAGTATAATGTGGAAGCTATAGCTCTGCACTGTTCAATAGAAATATATTGTGAGCTACATATGTAATTAAAATTTTTCTGGTAACTACATTAGAAAACTAAAAAAAAAAGTGGTAAAATTATTTAAGTGCTGGCGAGGATGCGGAGAAAAAGGAACCCTCGTGCACTGCTGGTGGGAATGCAGACTGGTGCAGCCACTGTGGAGAACAGTATGGAGTTTCCTCAACAAATTAAAAATGGAACTTCCATTTGACCCAGTGATCCCACTTCTAGGAATATATCCCAAGAAACCAGAAACACCAAACAGAAAGGATATATGCACCCCTATGTTCATAGCAGCACAATTTACCATAGCTAAGAATTAAAAATTATTTTAATTAGACTAATAACTTCAATAGATTATCGTTTGAACATGTAACAAATATAAGGAATCATTAATGAAATTGTTTACGTTTTTTGGTACTAAATCTAATAAATCTAGTGTATATTTTACACTAACAACACACCACTAGTCACATTTCAAGTGTTCAATAGCCACATGTGGCTAGAGGCTGCCTATTGGACAGTGCTGCTCTAACTAGAGAGAGAACAACTTACTTTGGTTCAGAATGTGATGGTCTTGTGTCTTTAGGTACTAATTGCTTTCTCTCACTGTAACTCAAAGGTCCATGGAAGGGGAATTAATGTGTCAACATCACTTCTTTCAGTGATGTGACATGTAGCAGGAAGCTGGCTGGCACCACCATGGAATTTTCAGCCTCTTTAAACATGTATAGCTAAGAGGCTCTAGCTGAGGATAACTTCTTGACTGATATAGTTTAGCCTCAGCTCCTCAGTACTAACCACCTGAGGACCTTATGTCTTTCAGAGACATTCTTAGTTGAATTAGATTTTGACATGGAAACTATAACAAGGAAAGTACATTTTCCCCATTATGCTTGTACTGGGATGGTGAACTTTTAGATCCTTGATGCAGTGGGCCTGTTTTTGCTCTTTCTTCCTGGCCAGTGGAGTAATTCATGATCGTTTGCTCCTCCTTCATGGGGCAGAAGGTCAGTGTTCTCTAGAACTAGACATTTACTACTTATCACATTTTCCAGATGTGCTGCCTGAACTTTTATCTCCTGCCCTTATGCCCTATGCAAGTACAACAACTTTGTCACTGGGGCCAGTTGACTCTACTCTACCCTAAATTCAGAGTGTTTTCTTGATCTCATTTCTTGGTGTCATTATGAAACGCTCTTACTGTGTTGGTCAGTGGCCTTTGAATTTTCGGAAACCTTGTATGATGTAATGCAGCCATTCCCATAGCAGACCTGCTGCTTCAGGTGACCATCATGACACTGGGGATTCATCTTTCTTTAGACACATCAAGAACTCAACACCTCAATGACTGAGCTCTCAGTTGGCCAAGGTTCCACCTATGGTTCTTTGTCAATGAACTGACTTCAGTTCTTAAAGAATAAAAGGGAACCTAATGCATTTCTCGAGTCACCATCTTTTCTTTTCTCTCTCTGTTTTCTACATTATACTGGAGTTTCTCCATAAACCATTGGGTTCTCTAAGCAAATCTCTGCTGCTTAGACTAGTGCTTCTATGTTATTATAGGATCTGGTGTCTCTAATTCCATTATTCATGGGTAACCTGTAGATTTTTCAGCTTCCAACAGACTTCAACTTCTTTATTTTGAAAATGAGAATTTAAAAACTCACTCTTTTCAGTCTTTTTTTCTTTTAAGAAAGATGAAAACTTCCAAGGTAGTGGTTACCTTGAGCCTTTATCCTCTTGTTCTAACATATTCACCTGTAAATTGCCAGGCATTTCTTTCTGGGTCATGTTAGTGATCATGTGATAGGGCTTATCTTTTAGATAGAGTCTTCTTCCTCTGTACTGTCAGGGCTGGCTATTCACTTCTCTCTCTCTTTTTTATCATCGTTTTTGTTTATGATCTCAGTAAGTCACTTACCTTTTTTATGTCTCTGCTTCAGTACAAAGGAAGTGCTTTACGATATGACAAAAGAATGTACTGAATGTCCTTTGCATGTGACACAATTGACCTATGATTTTAGGACTTGTGCTTGGAGTTATTTTTATAATGGCAGATAACTTTTAAAAACAACAAAACAGCTCCTCATGGCGGCGGCTGCTGTTGGGCTGCAGTGGGGCGGTGACTGAACTGGTGCCTGGCGGGCGTGCGCCGAGCCCCGGCCTGGCCTCCGCGTGCCCCCCAGGCTCTGCACCCCTGATGCTGCTCGGGTGCTGACCCCGCCCGGCCGGGACAATGGTGAAGTATTTCCTGGGCCACAGCGTGCTCCGGAGTTCCTGGGACCAAGTGTTCGCTGCCTTCTGGCAGCGGTACCCGAATCCCTACAGCAAACATGTCTTGACGGAAGACATAGTGCACCGGGAGGTGACCCCTGACCAGAAGCTCCTGTCCCGGAGACTCCTGACCAAGACCAACAGGATGCCCCGCTGGGCCGAGCGACTGTTTCCTGCCAATGTCGCTCACTCAGTGTACATCCTGGAGGATTCTATTGTGGACCCACAGAACCAGACCATGACCACCTTCACCTGGAACATCAACCACGCCCGGCTGATGGTGGTGGAGGAACGATGTGTTTACTGTGTGAACTCTGATAACAGCGGCTGGACCGAAATCCACCGGGAAGCTTGGGTCTCCTCTAGCTTATTTGGCATCTCCAGAGCTGTCCAGGAATTTGGTCTCGCCCGGTTCAAAAGCAATGTGACCAAGTCAATGAAGGGTTTTGAGTACATCTTGGCCAAGCTGCAAGGTGAGACCCCTTCCAAAACCCTTGTTGAGACAGCCAAGGAAGCCAAGGAGAAGGCAAAGGAGACGGCACTGGCAGCTACAGAGAAGGCCAAGGACCTTGCCAGCAAGGCAGCCACCAAGAAGCAGCAGCAGCAGCAGCAGTTCGTGTAGCCAGCGCAGACCCTGTGTGGCAGCACACCACACCACCTGCTGCACTCCCTCTGCCCTCCCCCTGTATTTTATTATTAAAAGTCAACTTCCAGCCTGATCTACTCTCTGGGTAGTGGGTTGGAGGTGGTATCTGTTTGGCATCTACAGTGCATCGGACCTGTTATCCGTGTCTGAGCCAGGCCTGCTTCCTGCATTGGATAGCTGAGGAGAGATTTGCCCAGGGTCACCGACAGCATTCAGGCAAAGTGGTCATAAACACTAGACTGTAAGCTCCATGAGGGCAGGGACCTTCGTTTTGTTCTCTGCTGCATCCCAAGTATCTGGAACAATATCTAGCTCATAATAGACACTCAATAAATACTTGTTGAATTCAATCAAAAACAAAACAAACAAAAAAAAACAAACATGGTCTTTTGAGAAATTGTCTGTATTAAGAGTGCAACTTATGGCATTGGAAGAGAACAAAGCCAATTCAATCAGGAAGGTACTTAACCTATTAAAACATCTATTAGCCTTGCAAGTAACTACCTGAGCCAAGTAGTTTCAGGGTACATAAAAATGATTTAGACACAATACTTTGTTATTCTAACACTATATTATGACAGTGTACTTATCAGTGAAAAAGTACAGGTGCGGTGGGGAAGCAGAATCCATTAGCACCCAGTTCTATCTACTCTCATGGAATGCTCAGCCTACCAAGAGGTATAGGGATTAGGTAGTGCAAAGAAAATGTCATGCAAATTTATCACATTTTATTTTTAAACTATTATAATTAGTTGAAAATACTGATGAAAAGTTATGTCATCACAAATTTGAGCAGTGGTGCTTTAATAATAGCTAGTCAGTTGGTGTACTGTAGGATGTCACCCCACCCAGTAATATGTGTGATGCTTCAATGCTAGAACAATGCTTACTTTTTTAACTAAGAATTTATTACGAGTGCACAAATTTTTGTGCACCGGGCCTCTAGTTTATTATAATTAATTTAATCATGCCTCCCTATCTAGTTTACCTCAGCAGTGATATGAAGCTCAAGCGCCCAAGTCTTTATAGTAATAAACTTGTCTCTGTAAGGGGCTCAGTACCTGTCTCTTTAAGGGGGCTCAATATGTTTGCCAAGCTGACTCAATCTCCCTTGGCTCCTTGTGCCTCCACAGCTCCTGCTCCATGATTAGCAAACTCTTCTGCATCTGCAACCTCCTTTTTTTGTTCACTTGTTTTCCATCTTCTGACAGAAATCCAGCTATTCCCAAAGAGGCTTCTTCTCCTCTTCTGGGTCTCCGTTTAATAGAGAGCCCTTTCCTGCCCATCCTATCTGACTAACATGATCACTTTCTTCTCTCTCAGAATAAGCTGGTTATTTTCTTTGTTGCATTCATCACTTTTTTACTTATTTCATTCATTGATTTACTGCATTGCTAGTTTAATGCTAGACTCCTCCCCTAGAAGGTCAGCTCTGCAGTGAGGACAGCAACCTTGTGCACCAGGCAACTGTTCTCCAGGGCCTGACACATGCTGAGAATGAATGAATGATCACAGAAGCTAAAATTTTGAATACATGTTAAACCTGATTTTATCTTTTGACTAAATATATGGATGCTGTGCTCATAATTTTTTTCCCTGATCAATTGATTATTTACCAATTAGATGAAAGCCTATTGCTGTTTTAACCAGTGTTCATGAGAAAGATAATTCCATGAAGTTTTTTCAGGAGCTATGCTTATTTTACTTGATACCTGAAGCATGGAAACTTTGTAGTGGGACATGATGGAGTAATGATCTTATTTGACATGGCATGTTTGTTAATTCTCGGTAAGAACTTGAAAATTTCACCTCTCTAGGAATGAAGGCACTCTTTAACACCTATAACTTCTTCAGCTGAATGGTGCGTACATGATTCTAAGCAGCTACTGCATTTGAAACCAGGTTTAAGTGGTTCCTGAAGTAAAAGCACCACAGTAGTGGACAGAAGAATGGATGCTGTAGGACAGTGGTTCTCAACCTGTGGGTTGCAACCCCTTTGGTGGTCGAACAACCCTTTCACGGGGGTCGCCTAAGACCATTCTGCATATCAGATATTTGCATTACGATTCATAACAGTAGCAACATTACAGTTATGAAGTAGCAACGAAAATAATTTTATGGTTGGGTCACAACATGAGGAACTGTATTTAACACTGTTTGTTTGGAGTAGAGCAGAGGGAGGAAGAGCTGAATTTCCAGTAAAATGAAGTCTCTGGGAAGCCAAGGGTTGGGATTTTATTCTATTTAAATAAGTTTAATGGTGAGAAAAAAGACTTAGAAGCCAAAGAATTCAAATGACTATACAACTTAATGAATTAGCCTGCCACAGTTCCATGCGTGTGTGCAGAAAACATGGGATTCTTGTTCTGCTGTAGGAGAACAGAGGAACCTCCAGTTTTTAATGACATATACTTCTGTGGAAGGGGAACTTCCAGTATCACTATTGCAATCAAGGAACATTGTGTTCAATTAAAACCCTGCCATGCAATAAAAAAAGTTAGGAAATACTAGCAAAGATAAAAAAAAAAGATCAAAACACAAACACATGCCTTTCAAAAGATCAAGAATATATTCTCATGAGACTGAGAGGAAAAAAAAACCCTGAAAATACCATCGTCAGTATATTTTCATGGAAATCCATAATTAACTAATTCACAGTAAATATAATATTGCTGAAAGAACCAGGGCTATATATAACTCTGTTGGTCCAATTAGTATTAGATTTCACAGGTAATTAACACTCCAGAGGAAGGTGAGAGAAGCTAGAAAAGTCCGTATGAAAATAGGACAAAATGATTGGATCCTATTACCTTATGTTGGCACAAGAAATAGAGTAAAATTCCCCCAAACAAAAATTTTAATTTATCTTGCAGCATAGAAAAGTACAGCACGATCATTTAAAAAGAAAGTCATAATTACAGTGACTACAATTGAACAGATTCTGTGAACAAAACATTTTATTTATATCTGCAAGTTGAGAAACTGATGAAGCATAAAGGACAAATATGTATAATCAGTTGGAAAGTTGTCTGAGAGGGAGATCTTAGTAAAATAAAGGATTTCGTGTGGTTCAATGGCATTCACCCAAGAGAGTTCCTGTTTGAAACTCACACTTATAATATAACACTTCATTGCTTTGCTGCTAAATCAACACAGTAGTGAAGCTCTGTGAAAGGTCAAATTTGATTCCAGTGTTATTTGAACAATGTCTGCCCAAAAGGGGTCTCTTGTTTCATATTTATAATTTTAATTACAGATTACTATACCTTCCTCATAATCTCAAACTACATTCTCATTTATTGTATAATATAGAAACTTCTTTAGAGTGTGGGGTAATTAATTCCACTATTCTACCATATTTCTCAAGAACTGTTGCTTAAGTAAATTAGTTTTGAAATCTATTTGGGGCCTGCATCTGCATAGCACAAAAATAAAGGTGATGAGAGTAAATATCTGAAAAGCCAAATGACTTTTTTTTTAAGGCGATGCAGCTAGTTAGTGACAGAGCTGAAACCAGTGTCATAAGTTATAGCAACAACAGTGCTTTGACTGTGAGTAAAAAAAGTCTTGTTTCAGACACAAGAATCCCATGTTTTCTGCACACAAGCATGGAACTATGGCAGGCTAATTCGTTAAGTTGTATAGTCATTTGAATTCTTTGGCTTCTAAGTCTTTTTTCTCACCATTAAACTTATTTAAATAGAATAAAATCCCAACCCTTGGCTTCCCAGAGACTTCATTTTACTGGAAATCCAGCTTTTCCTCCTTCTGCTCTACTCCAAACAAACACAGTGTTAAGGCTACCCAGCTTCTAGAATCTACTTCTTTATATTGTAAGCCCACCTTCTTGGTCATGAGTAATTGATCTCTTTCAATTTGTTGGAATTGGTATTGAAAGAGAGAAATCATTCTCTCACAGGGATCTGGACCTGAGAACATACATACTTGAAGCTGTCAGATAAAATCATGTTCCGCCCTGTGGATGATGAAGCAGAGAACACCAGTTTGTCCAGTATTCATAAGATGGCATGAGTTTCACTTTGCTGAGACACTGCGTGCTTGTATCTGTTGTTTCCGGATAATTATTAACAGTGTCTTTTCTCACCCTAGTGGGTGGGTTTGGCTCAGTGGATAGAGCATCAGCCCAAGGACTGAAGGGTCTCAGGTTTGATTCCAGTCAAGAGCACATACCTCAGTTGCAGGCTCAATCCCCGGCCCCAGTTGGTGTCATGCGGGAGGCAACCAATAGATGTGTCTTCTCTCACATCAATGTTTCTCTCTCTGTGTCTCTCCCCCTCCCTTCCACTCTCTCTAAAAATCAATGGAAAAAATATTGTCAGGTGAGGATTAATAAAACATTAAAAAAATAGTGTCTTTTCTCAAAATGCCCTGATTTGGAAGCTAAATCATGTGGCTATCTTAATCACTCCAGACACTTTGATGGCAAGTGATAGAAGCTCGACTTGCATAGCAGCTGCCTAGTTCTCTGAGTACCATCATCCAGGGAGCGACAGCTTTCAAGCATCTGGAAAGCGTGGAGGGATGGCATTTACCTCTATGTGGGAGCAAGTGCCTTGGCACTAGGAAGGCTCCTCTAGCTCCTCGTTGGTAAAGGGAAAGCTCCTGTTTTGAGTTTGGTTCTCCCTTACGTGTTGCTGGGTAGGCCCTTGCTGTTGCTGGTGAGACGCAGACTCTAACATGCTGACTCTAGATATGAGTCTACAAAGGCTAGGCTACCCTCTCCCCTGGTCATAGACTTGATGAATATGCGGGTTAGGCAGTCTTCATGGGTGATGCTGATTAGAGGCTATGACTGTCACTGGGGTTTTGACTTCCAATTCCTGCATTCATTCTCCATATCAAACAAAGTCAACATACAGGAAGAAGAATGAGGTAGGTGGACGGCAAGCAGTAGAGCAGAGAGAGAAGATACCTTGGGTTTCTTATGCTCCAATCCCTGTTGAGGCTGCCTCTGAGCTGCATTCTTGCCTTTAGGTTCCATCATATGCCACTATCCTATATAATAAAGATGTAATATGCAAATGGTCATTACACCATGAAGCGTAATGACCG